AATGGCCGGCTTAATCTGCCGACCTTCCCTCATGAGCACAACTAGGCTCATTTTCAAATAATCGGTAAAACGAAGGATTCCGGGTGAGAGGCGAGTCTGCGAAAAGACCAACAAGGAGCGAGGAAAGACGCGAAAACACGCAGGCGAGCATCCCCGCGCCGACGATCCGTTTGACGGCGGGGTAACTGATCCTTAGAAGTACAATTATGGCGCTTACAGCTTGGCGCTACACGTCACTTCCACTTAGGCGCCCCGTTTCCCTTTTTCACTACGTGAGTTTGACCTAATTGCACCCCCAAAAAATTATTACTACCCTTGAGTCTGGGAGAACTTCCCAAATCAGTGATTTGATCTGCTTCCTTGTCGAAACATAAAAGAAGGATAACTCTGGTCGAAATGCCGTAGCATAGAAATCAAGAAACCGAACATCCTCTGTCTTCCAACAAGCCCATCACTTGGGATCTCCAACGGCAGCGTGCTTGCCATTTACTCCTTTACTTTCACCTTTCGCGACGCACCGACCGCCCGCGAGCGATCGCGAGATTGTCGCGTCCATAGAACACCCTTGGTTCAGTCATCTCTTGCAGATTACTTGTACAACTATCCTCATGTGCCCAACTTCCAATTCTGTGCCTTCACAACTCACCAGCTAGCTCACATCCACAAACGCAACGCAGACGCAGCGCACGATCGCACTCAATCACCAGTTTGGGAAACGACAATGCAGGTACGTTCGAGAACAGTCGTTTGCACAGTGTTCGTTTCCATCCCCGTTCCAGGGCCGAGCGTTGAACAGAAGACCCGAGAGGGGAGCAACCCGTCGTTGCAAGTCGGTAACGGCCATCCCACTCCTCCCCGGAGCGCTCAACCTCGACCCACTTTCGACAAACTGGACCGCGATCAGAGCAAAGGTTCAATCATTGAGAAGGTATCACTTTCTTCACTTCATATTTGAGTGGAGTTTATAAATAACTTTCTTTTAAGGATCGCTCGACAACGCTGACCGGTGCCGCTCCCGTCGCTCAAAAATCTCATCTGTGTACCCTGCTTTGAGTTGCAGTCAAGCTGCTAGTGTAGCAAATAGTCGAACTATCCATGTAGTAAAAATAAAGTATTAATAACCAAATGGAATCGTGCTAGAAGTGTAACTAAGAACACACTGTTCGACATCGGACTTAAGGACACACTCAACACGCCATTCAGGCATCAAATAGCCGTGTTCGTGAAACGTAACGTTTTTGAACAAACGGAATTGCCGAAAGTGCCTCGACTGCAGTGTTCAATCCCGCTGAACGAGAACCCGAGTCTCTGAATTTGATTCCGCTGGCCACTGAGTGCCGTGGCAGGTCAACCGCCTATTTGTAAAACCACAAACAAGAGCGTGTTTGCACCAAGGAGAGGAAAAGGGGTCGTAAGCGCCGCATTGTATGAATTCGGAGCGAAATACCCCTACGAAATGAACAAGCGAATGCGAGCCACAGCAAGCGAGGATGGGCTTTCAAACTCCTCGCCGATTGAAAGCACGGATGTGCGCGTGGCGCATCTCGTGCCCAGGAGTTCCTGGTGCAAACGCTTTGAATTCAGTTGATCGATGCAAAAATTGTTCTGGAAGAGCTTCGACGCCTGTGGTTTTTCTAAACTGAACCAGCGAAAGTGTCAATAGTAGAAAACGATCTCTGAAGAAGAAAAGAAATTTAACAGAAGACTTTTGCGGGAGGGACTTTCAGGCCGGTTCAGAAGAATTTCAGGGAGCCAAGTCAGCCATTTCTTCGAGACGACCGACAACTTTACCAAACCCAGATCTGAAGAAAGTTTACAATCACTGAAACCCCAAAAGCTAGCATGTTCAGGAAAAATGGAAGATTTTCCCAGGTTCAGTACTTTCTAAAGCAGAATGTTTATAGTTTACCATGCCATCCTCACCACCTTCAAAGGCAAAGTTCGGGATTTCTGGCAGAAATTTAGGCTTTCCCCGTCAAATATGAAGCAGTACGGAAGGGCAGACCGGAGTTTGCCTTAAAGTAGTGGTTCCCAAGAAAGCTGGGATCGCAAAAGTCAAAAAAAAAACTCAATGCGCACGAAAACTTGAACAAACAATGATCGGGTACAATTCTCATGAAAAATCAAAATTGCCAAAATGAATCATTCGAGGAAGAAAAGATGATTTGTAGACGTTCTATACTCGTTGCTTACGCTCCGATATGAGAATTTATGCCACATTCGAAGGGAGAAAGTGGCGCACAAAGAGCCACCCTCATTTAACGAAAAATGTTCCCAGTTCAGGCAGTTCTAACAGCTGCACGCCCAATTTAGAGATTCCAAGCTATTTGCAAAGTGTTGATTTTGAGAGATTAGTGGTCTTCTCAAGTGCAGTGAGCACACGCGCCCTCCCAACCACCGTATTTTAGCTCGACATCATCGCGCAAGTATTGCCCACACTTCAGTGCATTCAAATCTATCAATATTTACTTAAGTGTGCGTATGCAGTCGATGAATAACTGAAACCGATGGATGTCCCTGCGCGTGGTAACCGCCTTCTCCTTTGTTAACACTGTAATAGCGTGATTCGCCTTTAAAGCAACGATTTCAAATCAAACTCGTGGGGTAATAACGGTAGATAATGAAGTAGTAGATGGCGAGTTGACTGCTAGGACAAAAGCAAAGGAAGCCCCTGACGAAGCATTGAAACAGGGACTCTCCCTCTCTTCCTTTGAAATGAAGGAAGGGCGCGGTGGACGAGCTGTCCGAACTAGCTTGCTCCGCCGGCATTTATTGCTGGCTCGTGCCAGCAAGAAATGCGGCTGCAATCGCATATGCACCAATACAAACAGAGACATATGCATCAGTACAAACAAAGAAATACAATAATCAAATGAGTTAAGGTAAAACCAATCAAAAGGAGCAGCATCAATTTTGAAACGCGGGACAGTTACACGCAACTGCACAAGGACCCGCATCCAAGCATGCGACCCCAGACATCCACAGCTGGCAATTGGGCGTTTTACCGAAATAACGCCAACTCCGAAAGTGTTCAAGCTCCCTTTCTAGCGGCTTTCCAAGGTGAGTTTTTTGTTCAGTCACACTTTTTATGTTCTTGACTAGGGCTAGCGCATCGTTCCACACCATTAGTGTCGAAGGTAAAAACCCTGCTAACTGCTTGCTTTGAAATAACATTCCTGGACACGTTGAATGTCGACTGTCCGCCGCGTTCAATCCTGCAAGTCATTCAAAGGCATGCCCCATAATCAGACACGGGTAGTTCCAGCACACGAATACGAAGTATTGGTGTAAAACGGGTCAGCAGTAAAGAAGAAAAGGGAAAAAATCTGCCCAAAACTTTTAGGTTAGGATTCACCTCAGTAACACAGCTTTACTGAGGCAAAGAAAGACTATGGTGAGCGCGGAGAGTATGAGGCGGGAGAGCCGATGAGAAGGCACCAGACAACAGCCTAAAAACTTGCAGCTGCGGCAGCTCATACGCAAGGCCCTAGCGCCCTTCTCAGGCGATTAGTATAATTAGGAGTGCCACGTCCAGGAACGTCCTCTATCGTGTAGGCTAGAGATCTTTCACAGGACTTCTACCTGAGCTTTGTCCTTGAAGGCATGCTCCGGGATTAGGCACGCTCACCTGTTCCATCCCCTAGTGTAGTAGCAGGCGGACAAGCGTTGATGTCGCGCCCCTTCTTGAAAGTGCGCGACAAAGGCGCAAGGAGCTCGCTCCGACCCGCAACCACACCTTCGTCCGCAAGCCCCACCCTCCGCTGTCAACTTGCCACGTGCGCTGCTTGAAAAGCGCGGGCGCACTTTGAGGCAGTGGTCTACTGCGGCCCAATGTCACTGGCAATGAAGAGTTGAGGTTCGTGAAACTCGTCCAACGCGCCCCTTCTCTATCCCAAGGTGGAATGTGGCTGAAATAGGGGAGGTCTCTGTGCGGGGCGTAATCGGTGGTTTCGTTTGCTTTCCTTCTCTTTTACAGACCACCTCCCACCTATAGCTTCATAACTGAACGCTTTTCCACACCTATTTTATCCCGAATCTTGCCTTTGAAAAATGCCGGGCATGGCCCAAACGCCTGGCCATTGGGCTCAATCTCCGAAGTTGGTTGAGAGTGCCGTGATCACTCCCTTGCCAACTGACCGTGCCAGTACAGCCGTGTTCAGACGTGTGGTCGTTGGTAGCGCCGCCTTGATCGCCGTGTTTAGTCTCGCAAATGGCCCAGGATGGGCCAGTGGCTGGACGCTTCTGGAATTAGAAATGAGGATGTCAGAGCGGTCATGTGGACTGCCCCTGTTCAAAGATGCCAGAGCAACCCTGCCATGGTATATTAAGAAGACCACAGGATCACTAGATAAGAAAGCGATGGACTTCGAAGTGCAAGGCAAGCGACCGCGAGGAGCCCCAAGAAGAGGTGGAGAGATGTGATCAAGAAGGATCTAAGTGAAGTCATGGCCACAGCAGAGGACGCCCTGGACAGAGCTAAAGTGGCGACGACTGATAAAGACAGCGGACCCTGCGACTGCGCGGGACTAACGCTAGGGAGAAGAAGATGAAAAAGCAAAAAAGTTCTTGGATTAGCATGAAGAGCTGTACGAGAACTCGCATTCTTATAAGGACTATCGCCATCATGAAGTTGCGTGTCATTAGTTTGATCGCCGTGAGATCGAAAAGTTGCCATTCCCCACACTCTCCATGGATTTTGCGTATTATCCTTTCATACAAAGCGAGAGAAAAGATGAGCGCATGTAGCTGAATTTACCGTCAAACTCACAGGAGAAGCCGTTCTCAGTCGAACTCTTCCAAAATGACAGCTCCCATGCCACATTTACCGAACTGTCCATTCCTCCGACTTCCATCAAAACTAGAGTTCTTGCGAAACATCACACCTTGAATCAGAGAAATTGAAAAGATGCACCGGGGAATCTCATGCTAGCACTTGTTAGGCGTCGTTAGGCGAAGAGAAGCAAATCAAAAGGTACCTCACTCTTGCAAAATGTAATACATAGCTTAGCGCAAGTGTAGCTGTGGGGTATCATCGCGGCACAACAGTTCGTCCTAGCTAGATCGACACCTTTTCCAGAAAAGAGCTCCGAGCTGAAGAACCAACCTCCAGGTGCAGAAAAGACGATTGCTACTCCTCCCACAAATTTCTAATAAGGTTGTGTTATAGTGATTTTGTATGAATGGAGTTCAATGTGCCGAAACGTCCCCTCGACTATTGGCGCCTTTCAGAAGAGAACTAGAAAAAATACGGTCGAAAATACAGCAATTAAGTGAATTATCGGAACACTTCGGTCTCCGTGCGGGCCTGGGCGCCCTGTTTTATTGGAGATCAAACGGGGGTGTTTTGCGTGACCTACCGATATTCAGCGATGGGGCAATACTGGTTCAGAACAGCGATTTGAAAAGAATTACTGCCTGCTTCCGCATCCCATCCCCTTTATGGAATGATGAGCTTCACAGCAATAGAGAGAAAAAGACAGTACCTGAAGAAGGTTTCTTCTTCGTGCCTCTTCGTGTTCTGAACCACTTGGTCAAACCCAGAGCCAAGCAATGCTCAAATCGAGGCCAACTAATCCTATTCGGAACAAATACCGAATTTAATTACTGGATGGCTGGGAGAGCAGCTCAGCATATGGCATAGACTGCAGGAGCATTTGTTTGGGACACACAGTTGCTCACAGTTCCCAGGTGGAGTTGTGCAAATCTGTGGGTGTGATTCCCATGGTTTAGGGAATAGTCTGAAAGGTGTATGGTTCTCGATAAGAGAAACAAAGAGAATAATCTGAAGAAAAGTTGGGGATAGCTAGATCTTCGGAACCGGTCTCGATCCCGGTTGAGGCAGAAACCATGCCTTGCAAAGTCGCGAAAAAAGGTTTCAGCACCAGTGTCAGATCCAGGCGTACAAACTGACTAATTAATTTCTTAAAAATCACGACTAAAGGTCGCATGCAGGTCAGTGATGTTGGACGTCACCCGAAAGTGACGCAGAACCCCGTGAGAAATTTGTGGTGAGTATGCAAGTGCTACGATGGGATGAAGTACTCCGGCCAAAA